ACTTGGGAGTATTTCAAAATTTGTTTATTATTGTGTTGTGCACATCTGTCACCAAAGGACCTGTAACTGATTTAAAAGTTTTTTCTAAATGTTATTTCTAGTTATTTTACATTAAAACTTCACTCAAGAAATGAACATGTTTGCTTAAAAGGACAAAGAGGGTTGGTGATTAATAGTGTGGGCTTTAAAATCTGTGTTCTCTTTGAGTCAAATTATTCTTGAGTATCTGACAGTTATATGAAATTGGACAGTTAACAAAGTCTTAGTTTCCTCAAAGATAAAAACTGCAATATTACATCAAAGGATTGTTGTGAGAATTATGTAAAATTCTCTATATAATGGTCTTAAATTAGCCTTAATTTAGTACAACATAGTGAACACTCACTAAATAACAGATGTTTTATTATAAATCATCTTTTTCATCATCATCATCATTATCATCATCATTATCAGGTTTATGACTGGAGTAATAACTGTATCTGCTTCTTAGTCTCATCTATACTATAATCAGATCAATCCATATGTTACATTTTATGATTTCCCTTTTGTAAGACAAAAAAATTAGGTCCTATATTTAACATTAACTTTAAAAACCTTATTTTTTATATACTGCACATTTTTATCAATAACATACAGATGATCTTTTAAACTGGCCTTTTTCCCACAAGCAACAACCTTACATATTGCTGTAGTCCTTTGTCCAACAGCTTTAAAAGGGGGTGGAAATGTCCTGGAATTTTAATATAAAGAGACTCTCTCTTAGCTAACAAGACTTTCCCTATTTTCTATTGTGCAGCTTCTCACTAAAACTTTTCCTAGTCTAGGCCCAAATAACTAAATGAAAGACCATGTTTCTTTTGAACTCTGAATGAGCTTATGAATTTAGACAAGCCTCACCATTTTTGAAAGATTTCAAATTAAAACCCTATCATCAATAAAATTCTAAATTAGGTCTCCATATGCTATCCATTGTCATTGCCCCCTCCACTGAACTTAACAATATAAATAATGTAAACTTATAACAATGTAATGTAAATTATAACAATATAATAATATATTATTATATATTATATAATAAATAAAATTATAATAATATAATAATATAATAAAATTATAATAATATAATAACAATATAATAAATTATAACAATATAAATGAATATAACAAAATGTTATATAAAAAAATCATTATTTAGAATCTATACTTTTAAGTGTTGTAACTTCTTTGGCTAATTATTTAGCAAGTTCATAAAAAGTTAAATACATGTCTTCTATGTGAACTAATAATTTTATTCCTAAAATTTACTCAGAGAAATAAAAACATTTGTCTCACACAAAGTAAGTATCTTGTAAAGAATGTTCACTACTTTGAAAATCACTCAGATGTCTGTAAACAAAATAATGCATAAGTTGTAGCATATTCATACTACTTTCAGCAACAAAAGGTAATATCTACTGAAACAAACAACAGTACAGATATTTAAGAGCAACACTGTGCTCTTAAGATCTAGACTCCTATTTCAATGTCACTATATCCCTCTACCTGGATATTATGCTTTCTTTCCCAAATCCTCTTCTATGTCAGTCTTCCCAATCTCACTGATCCTAGCATTCACCAATTTTTTCTATCCAAAATTTTAGAAATGAATGTTAAATCCTCTCGTTCACACATCTTTAATGTCTACACCATAAGCAAGTCCTATCAATTTTAAATCCACCTATTTTATAATCCACCTAATTTATATATTCACATCCACCTATGTCTATACATCTTATTAAAGGAACACTGTCCAGACAAAAAACATTTGCACTATTTCCAAAGCACCTCACTGATTTCTGTGTTTTTCTCCAGCACTGCATTATGCAAAGCCACTCCTCCCAACTCATCCAAAATGAGTTTTTACATATAAATCACAAGTTAGTATTTCCCCTGCTTTTTTTTTAAAGGTGGTATACTTAAAATACAATATTTTCCTTTACATCCAAGCAAAGAATAAATAGAATCTGAAAGATGATTTTTTGAAATGTTCATATTAGTAAAGCTAATCTACAGATTCAGTGCAATCCCTATCAAAATTCCAATGGCATTCTGTACAGAAACAGAAAAACAATTCTGAAATCATACAGATCCAGAAAAAACAACACATTGAAAAAGCAATTTTGAAAAACAAAGGCAGAGACATCACACTTTCTGGTTTCAAACTGTATTACAAAGTTTAGTATATAAAATACGGATGGCATATAAGCAGATATATAGACCAATGGAACAGATAGAGAGCCCAGAAGCAAATTTATACATTTCTGGTCAACTGATCTTCCATAGGAGTACCAAAAGCACAAACTATGGAAAGGGCAGTCTCTTCAATAAATGGTGCTGGGAAAAGTTGGTATTCACATGCAAAACAATGAATGGGGCCTTGCCAGTGGTGCAGCTGTTGAGCGCTGGTTTGCGAAGCTGCCGGCAGCTTCCCACAGGGCAGCACACCACACGGCATGCAGTCCTCTCCTGCTGTGCCCGCTGCACCCCTCAGAAGTGTACTTTGTCAGTCTGCCTGTTCTGCTCTCCGCTCTGACTCTGGTGAATTCTCTCACCCTCCCGCGCTTCTGACTGTACCCAGTGCTTGTGTAAATAAATAAATAAATCTTTAAAAAAATCAGAAAAAAAAAATGAATGGGCTCACTTATCTCATAATTTATTAAAAAATAACTCAAAATGGTTTAGAGGTTTACAAGTAAAGCTTGAAACTATAAAATTCTAGAAGAAAACCTAGAGAAAATGCTTGTTGATATTGATCTGGACAATAAATTTTTGGATATGACACTAGATATATAGGCAACAAAAGGAAAATAGACAATGGAGGTTGTGTGAAACTAAAAAGCTTCTATGAAGAAGGGAAAGACTCAACATAGGCAACCTATGTAATGAGAGAAAATATTTGAAAACCAAGTATCTGATAATAGGTTTATAAGCAGAATGTATACGGAACTCACACAAATCAAGCAAAGAAATAAATTTAAAATGAGAAAAGGACTTAAATAAACATGGTCAACAGGTATGTGAAAATGTGTTCAACATTCCTAATCAGCAAGCAAACAAAAATAAAAAGCACAATGAATATTGCCTTAGATCTGTTAGAAAGGTAACTACAAAAAAGACAAAAGGTGTTGGAAAGATGTAAAAGGAACAGGACTCTGTACACTGCTGATGAAACAGAAATCAGTACAGCCATTATTGAAAACAGTATGGCGTTTCCTTAAAAAATTAAAGGTAGAATTACCATACAATTCCTCTGTGTATATATCTAAAGAAAATGAATCAATATCTCAGTAAATATTTATGTTCCCATGTTCATTGCAGCATCATTCACAATAACCAAGATGTGAAAACAATTTAACTATACATACATGCACACACCCTACAATGGGATATTATTTACTCTTAACAGATGGAGATCTTACAAATTGCAACAATGTGGATGATGCTGGAGGACATCATGCTATGTGAATAAGCCAGACAGATATTGTATATCCTCACTTACATGTGTAGTTAAGAATAAACTCAAAGAAGCAGAAAGTATAAAGTGGGTTACCAGAGCCCAGGAGAAGAGGAAATTTCAATCAAAGAATACAAAGTTTAAATTATACAAGTTGGGTATGTCTAGGAGATCTAATGTAAAGTGTGGGGTCCATAATCAACAATATTATATTGTATGTTTGGAATAGCCGAGAAGGTAGATCTTAAATGTTCTCATCACACACACACACACACACACACACCATGAAATTATAGATATGATAATTAATTTGATTGTGATGATCATTTCACAATGCATACTATAGCAAAACATGAAATTAAATGTCTTAAATATATGCAGTTTTGATGTCCATTTTACCTTACTACAACTGTGGGAAAAAAAAAAATTACAACTCAGGTAGATGGAGATCAGTGTTGTCCTCACCTAATGAAGGATTCAGAAGTAACAGTGGCATTATATGCCTACTTAAATCATGAGTTTCTCCCCCCAAAACAAACAAAAGTATCCTGGGAAACTGAAGTTGACTACTACAGGGTAACTAAGATGCAATCCTAATTATTGCTGCTGTGCCAAAAGTGGCTTTCTCTTGTAAAGCATATCAAAATGGCATCAGGTACTTGTGGCATGTGCCCACTGAGTGGTGAATGCATTCTTTTACATCCCTACCAAGAAAAACCAGAAACATTACCCATTCATCTGGATTCAAAAAAAATATGCTCTTCTGTCTCATTTTTTTGTTATTTTTTCTTTCTTGGTTTTATCCATGTTTATTCCTCCTAAATCTGAGAATTTTCAAGGTGTCCCTCTCACTTTAGCTTATAGTGCTAAGTACTTTGGTTTGAATTGATTCCTTTGGCTCTTTTCTACTCTGAACATTTTGGACACCCTATATCTAAAATTGACTTTGTTTTGCCAGAATTCCAGTCAAAGAAGACCTAAGTCCCTAGAGAAATATATAGAAATGAAGAAAGATGTTGAATTTTCCGTTTTTGATCAACTGATAGTCTTGTACTAGCGCAAATATGCAGAAACTTTCCTCAAGCAGACTTTCTGATTTTAATGGGATCAATTCCTTTATTATCTTAGCATTGCTCTTAAGAAATAGGATGGGCACACACTCTTAATTTGATTTAAAAGGTCCTTTATTATCTGTTCTTTTTCTCTTCTTCACATAACCCCTAATATTACATCAAGCTATCTCACTTCATTCAGCAACCCAAAGACATTGACCTTGTCTCAGTTATCAAGTATAACTACACCCTCTCCCAGTAGGCATATGTTGTCAAAGGCATTGATTAGCAATAATTGTTAAACAAACTTCAGTTTTCATTTTTCATATCAATTGCATAATCTTTAGGTTTTTTTTAAATATTATCTTGAATATTTCAGAAACGAAGTTATTTGGACTGATGGAGATAAAATTTTACCTTGCTGTTTGTGGTAATAGTAAATGCTCATTTCTTACCACTGGCTCACATGGAGACAGGAACATCACAGCAAGTGGAGTATGTTTTAATTCTTCACCGAGAAGAATGCCATGAAAACCCTGAGGTGTGAAAGAGGTTGGTGACTTATTTTCTTCAATAAAACTTCTATGTTCCATTGTTTGAGGTCGAGCCATGCCTTTCAGTATTATATAAAATCCATCATTTCCAAACACTGAAATAAAATAAAACCAAAAAATATATGTACATAATTTTAAATCTAAATATACTAAATGTGAAAAATTAACTTATAATGATTTCAGTTTTCCAAACTTAATTATCTAGTTAAACAAGATGACTTTAAGTGAAAGAGTAGTCAATACAATTGATCAATCATCACAAAGTAATAATAGTGAATTTTTGATATACTTTAAAGAAACTCAACACATGAAAAATTAATGAATGAGTAAGAATTCTTTAAAATCACATGGGTTCCAATTCTTTCCTTTTAAAGGTAATTGAAATAAGATCTAATCAACCTAATTATTTTTTAGCACATGAATCATGCAAAGAATTCAAAGAACTTAATAAAACATCATTAAATTATAACATTATCATTAAAAGAGAAATCATATAGACTTTGTTCCCAGGTTGTTTGATACAGATATGACTGCAACACTATTACACTTGCTTTACTTGAAACAGATTCCTTAATGTAGCACTTTGGTATTAATGAATAATTTACACAAATAGCAAGGAATAAAAGACACCTCTACATATTAGGAGTATCCCTTTTTGACAGTTAATCAGTCCTCTCATGCAACTACAGATTCTAGCAAAGAACTATGGAAATAAAACATGTTTAACATATTTAAGATAAGAAAAATTGGACTAGTAGAGCCCTTAAATTTTTAAGTATTTACCTCTTCCCTCAAAAATGCCATTTTGCCTATTTTAAATACCAACAATTACATATACTATTAATTTTCACTTAGTTGTGTTCTAGACAGAAATAAGTTGCTATAAATGGAAACTTTACAAATTGATTTTCAGGGACAACTGTGTTTCTTTTTATGCCCTAAGAGATGTAAACTTCTTGCTTTTTCTGCTTTTTTCTAAACTAGTATTTATTAATGGTGCGCTCTTGGTCACCACCTGTAAACTGTAACTACAGGAAAGTAATTATCAGTCTTCTTTAAAGGAAGCAGTGTTTGCTTAGATGCAGGAGCTTAAAATAGATTCTTTTCTAAGTCACACAATATCATTTCTTATTTAACATCTAATCTATGTGGTCAGGGCACTGCAAATACATTGCATATTAATAGCTATAGGAGAGCTGAATGAGAATTATTGCAGCAAGTACACTGTAAAGGTAAAAGATAATGTTGTAAGACTAGTAACGATTTTACTAGTCTTGATAATTACATAGAGGGAGAAGTAGTAGGGAGAAGGCTCTATTCTTATATATATATATTTATGCTCTATTTTGTATTGACTTAATGACATTCCTCAGCATATAATCAAATTTGTGAAAGAGATGCATTGTGTGAAATAATTTTTTTGCAAGTGCTGCTAGTTGCCTACCCAATGTAAATTTTTTCCTTTTTCTTTACTGGCAACTAGAAGTCTCAATACCATTGAATATATATTTTCCAGAAGTTCTCAAAAAAAGGGAAACATTATTAAAATGCCCCATACCAAGATATAAATATTATTTCTCTTTTTTTTAAGATTTATTTATTTATACAAGAACCAGGGTACAGGCCAGATGCACGGGTGGGTGAGAGGATTCACCAGAGCCAGAGCGGGGAACAGAACAGGCAGACTGACGAAATACACTGCTGAGGGGAGCAGCTGGTGAGACAGGAGAGATCTGTCGTGCCAAGTGGGACCCTTGCGGGGGGCCGGGAATAGAACCGGCGCTGCAGAGTCTGCGGGCAGCTTCGCAGCCCAGCACTCAACCACTGCACCACCAGGGGAGGCCCTAATAAGTAATCTTAATATAATATTGTTTTAATAGTATTTTTACAAAAACTAGAGATTTGTATATGTATTATTCAATACTTAAAAGCATAGTATTGTTATTCATTTTAATATTTTATTGGTTAACTAAAGTACATGAGAGGCTTTGTGGGTAATTTAGACAGTGGCCATAAATAGTGAGCCTCCAAGGAACCTGTGGCCAGAAAAGAGGCCAGAAGGTGCACACAGCTGTGTGGAATTGCAGGTGAGAAACCAAAGCCTCAGCAGCAGATTGAAAGTCAGTAGCCTGGTGAGGAGGTACTTCGAGGGGGAATACTTTAAATAACAGCAGAGGGAGGGAAACGCATACATAAATAAAGAAAAGGGAGAGAGAAAGACACCTGGTCTGGCTTGTTTTTTAAGTTTAATGAACAAAGAGATTTACAAAGGTCAGATAGTTAATGAGTTGACTGCTTTGATAGTGAAACAGATCTTAGTTGTCAGAATTAGGTGTCTTAAAAACTCAATTCTAATTAGAAATATTCCACACATTTTGTGTCTGAGGATCCTCATCTGTAGAGCATAATAATATCTAATTTATCTGTCACTGTGAGGAATAAATAAGGGATATTTATGACAAAAAGACACAAATAATTCATTAAATAAGTTTAGTTCCTTTTTTCTAATAGATTCTGGATAAATGGAGAAAAAAGATGTTGAACTCTTGGTTTATGTATTTATATTCCTCCTTAATCATATTTAAAATATAAAATGCTTATTAATGTATTTAATATATCCTTGGTAAAGAGACTAGAAGTTAAAGCTAGGAAACGGAAATTCTTTTTTTTTTCAGTATCGTCTGATACTGAAATATCAGTATCCACCTGGAATAAACACTGGAAATTCCACCTGGAATAGCACTGGAAATGCAAATTAAGACCCATCCCAGACCTGCAGAGTCAGAAACTTTAGATGCTAAATCCAGTAACATGTTTTTAACATGTAAAATGTTACCCATTTACTACTTAAAACCTTACAAATGAAATAATCCAAATAGAACATTTTTAACATGCCAAGTGAAATTTTGAATATTACAATGATAGAGAACTCAAAGACATTCATTTTATCTTGCCAAATTTCTCTTCAGATTAGTCTGTTACCTATGCTGCCTTTTAACCATTTTTCCGAAATGACACTCATACTAAGTGTTTTCAGATGCTCATCAGTTAGCTGAGATGTTAATTCTGGAATTGTTCTTAGCATCCTCCACACAGTGTTGTGTTCCTGCCGAGTCCTGTGGATAGGCCTTAAGAAAAAAAGGATGGCAAACTGAGAGACCACAGCATAAATACAAAGACACAAACAAATTAACACCGAAAATAAAGCCTATAATCCTGGAAATAAGGGCTCAGCCATGAATTTGAAGCATGCACCTGCATAATGCAGATGAGTTCTGAATTCATAAAGTCACCAACTGTTCTAGAACCCCCATGGGATGTTAGTATAATAAAGAGGAAAGCTAGAATTTCTGCTGTTATTATAAAATTTCAGTTTTCTAATCTAGGCTGTTTAACCTTACCATAAAGGTGAGAATTTTCAAAGAGTTGAGTAAAATAAGTTAAATGTTGAACTCTGTTGGTTTATGCATTTATATTCCTCCCTAACCAAATTTAAAATATAAAACTTTTATTAATGTATTTAATATATCCTTGTAATACCACTGACGTCTCATTAGCCTTTCACACATACAGTGCCTTCTCCAGATATATCTGATAAATATTGGTTGAATGAAAGATTGTATTTTTAAAAAAGCTTGATTTTTTTGAGCTTCCAAGTTTGTGTCCTCTTGCTAATTAAGGGTGGCTGAACATAAACCCTATTATGAGGGTTCCCAGTTCCTGTACTAATTGCAATATGAGGGGGTTGCACACACATACAAGAATGTCCAGACACCAACAGGTTGTCTGAGAATTCAACTCAACTCCGACACTTTCAGGAGATAGCATGATATTCCATAGGTTATCAGCTCAGATCTACAAGACTGCTCCCTACCCAGTTTCAACAGTAATCCCAAGTCCAGGTTACACCCATGCTTCTGAGCAACCAGCTACATATTGGGGGTTTCCATGACATCCTCCTCGTGTTTCAGATGCCAGTCACACATCCATGTTATGAGTACTTTTGAGTGAATGACTATAAATCAGAGGTACTCAAGACCACTCCTCATGTTCAATTAATTCACTAGAATGGCTCACAGACCTCAGAGAAACATTTTACTTACTAGACTACTGGTTTGTTATAAAAAGATATAACTCAGAAATAATTAGATAGAAGGGATGCGTAGAGCAAGTCATGAGAAAAGAATCCAGAGCTCCCACACCTTCTCATAGGTCATCATTCTTCCAAAATCTCTACATGATTACAACCAGAAAGCTCTCAAACCTCATCTTCATGGGGTTTTATGGCGATTTCATTACATAGGCATGACTGATTAACTCATTGGTGGGAGTAAAAGCTGCAACCCACTAATCACAGGTTGTTTCACAAGCAGCCAGTCCTTATCCTTAGGTTCTTCCAAAATCCACTCCTTTAACATAACAAAAGATGACTTTATTGTTCTCAGCACTCAGAAAATTCCAAGGGTTTTGAGAGCAGTCAGGAAGAATGAACAAATGTATAAGAGCTGCTTTAAGTGTAACTATCTTTGTTGCAGTGCCTACAGAAACAGTTAATCAGCATTTGCTGAAAAACTTGTTGAAAAAGTACAAACTGGCACAGCAGACCTCTCCTGTCTTGCCCACTGCTCCCCTCAGCAGTGTATTTCAGTCTGTCTGCCTGTTCTGTTCCCCACTCTGTCTCTGGTGAATCCTCCTCCTCCCATCTCTGGCCTGTACCCCAGTTCTTGTATGCATAAATAAATAAATCATTAAAAAAATGTACAAACAACCTATAGTACAGAATATATAAACAGAGTTTGGGTAAGATGTATGCCAATAAGGCAACAGTAAATCAGAACAACTCAGGAACAAGTAAAAGGAGAAAATTACAGTGGAATATGCTCTAAGAAGCAATATTTACTGAGCATCAAAGATATTAATTTCCACAATGATATATAGCTAATAATAAAAAAAGAAATGGAAATACTAAAAATTGCTGAATGAATAGTAAGTCATTTTGCCAACACACACACACATATGCACATGCATACAAACACACACACACACACACAATGGAAAATGTCATAATTAAGATATTCATTGTAGACATTTAGTTTTATGAACAGTGACTTATTGATTGAGAAATTAATATGTTCTTAAAGATTTTCATTGAAGCAACTTCTTTTAAAGTTTTAATTTTATCCCTTCAGTTATTTTTACCACCTGAGTACCTCTTCCTTTGGGACAAGAAATCTTTCCATCAAGTCATATGTGTGATAATAATTATCAGATTTTTTTTTCATTCATTAAACTCTCATTTTAACTTGTTGAATATATGATGGCAAAGTACTGAGCACATTCTATGTTAATTATTTAATGAAACTAATTAAAATATATAAACTGTTTAATTTGAAGTAGTATCTTCACTAGGTATTAGAAATTCAGTTAAGACAGCTCCCTGTTCTTTTGTAGTCAAACAGAAAAGAAAAAAGAAAAAGAATAAAACAGGACTAATTCTTGATTGCAAGCAAGACTTCTTTCAGAAAGAGATGCCTGCCAGAAGCCCATGACAGTCTCTAAAAAATGAGAGTGAACTTCAAAGATGCCGATTAATTTTTTAAATCAATGATTTAAAAACATCAAAGAAAATCTCTCTAGGTCCTGGCATAAAACGATTTTTAATTAGAAGTGAGCATATTTGGTGATAGAGCTGATTCATATATATGAAGAGATGTCAAATTAAAAGTTAAAAGGAGATCATTTTTTCTAATTAAAAATATAATTAAAATATTAAAATAAAACAGATCCTTGGGGAGGTATACACAAAATTCAAGCATTATCTCCTGACCAAAGTCTCCCTGCTGTCTGAGTTCCTACTTTCTCTTAACATTGGTTAAAAATAACCAGCCAAACAAAAATCAACAAGGGTTTCAAATCAAATTCTGTGGAAAACTTGATTAATTCTCTAAAACCCCTGAGAATTTTGGGGAAACATGATTCTCCCAGTTGTTTCTTACTGATTTCCCTTTTTTTTTTTGAATATGTGGTTTTTTGATTCAGAAGGCAGACTTTTCTGTTAGCAGTTTTATGTTATTTTCTTTCAAATAATTTCTCATTCTTCCTCCAAAGAGAGAAAGATAGAGAATAGATGGCCACTTGTTTCCCATTTTTATTATTTTCACTAATGCTCTTATGTGATTCTTTATATAAGGAGTGGGCAATAGCAGTGATGTCTAAACACACATATACACACAGATCACTTTGTTCCAACCAGACCCTACATAGAATATACATATATAAAGTCAACAAAAGCAGAACTATACTAGCTTAAATAATGGGAGGATCTGTCCATTTCCATAATAGAACCACTTCCTCCCCTATATTTACACCTGAAAGAATATTGCAGAATCTACAAGGTTGATGTAAAATTATACAAAATCCAAGTTTCCTTTAAACATGAATATCCTATTATTTTAACTAGCTAATTTCCCATTATTTTTTATCTCATTTATATTATCATATAATCATAAAAAATTACATTTTCTAATCCAATCTCCTTCCACCTTTTAAAATGAGGAAGTTAAAGCTTAGCTATGTCAAGTATCTTGTTCAAGGTGACAGCGATAATAAATAATGGACGAGGGTTTGATTGAAGGTATTCTTACTCAGGAACCTAGGTTCCCATCCACTTAGCCTCTAAACTGAGTCAAATGATCATTATAGCAATTTTCTTTTTTTTTTTTAAAGACATTTATTTATGCATACAAGAGCTGGGGTACAGGCCAGAGATGCAGGGGGTGAGAGGATTCACCAGAGACAGAGTGGGGAACAGAACAGGCAGACTGACTGAAATACACTGATGAGGGGAGCAGCGGGCAAGACAGAAGAGGTCTACTGTGCCATGTGGGTTTCTTGCTGGCCGGCTAGGGATCGAAATCATGCTGCAGAGGCAGAGTATTGCTTCATACTGTGGTGCTTAACCCCTTGCGCTACCAAGGAGGCCCAACAATTTTATTTTGAGTCATTGTGACAAATGAGTTACATTGTGACAAATGAGTTCCAGGTTTTATTGACTCTGACACATAAAATAAATTTTAAAGGAACACATATTCATAAATAAAAATGGTGTAAATGGGAATATTTGAGAAGAAAGAGAAAAAAGCACAACACATTATAACTTTTTAAAGCTGGATCTTAAAAAATCACCAAATCCAGAAAAATAATTCAGTACTTCCATTGATTGGTTGCCTATGTATATCTATTAATTTTTCTAAAAATTTTTAATGCATCTCATATATTTCCACCTCTTTGTATGATGAAAGTTTTATATCACTTTTATTGAAAGGATAGAATCTCCTGTCTGGCTTGGTTGATAGAATTTTAGAAATTATTCTTAATAAGCTAGAAATATATCTTTTAATTTTGCAACTGGTTATTAGTAAAATCATATAAATTCTATCTATAATTTCTATCAACTGTAGGAATATCCATACTACATTCCTTTCATATGTGGGCTACAAGATTTGGAAAACTTTCCCACAGATTCAATTCTCTCTTCATATATTTCAAAGTATGTGCCACACCACAGCTCACATGTTTCTTGTGACAAGTTGCCATATGGTCATTGCAAACTATGATAAGAGTTATGGGCCTCTTTCTTCATATCCAGATGCTGTTGACTCCATTCAGTATGTAGAAGGATTATTCCTGAGAGCCATTCATATGCCAGTACAGCTAGCAATAATTCACACATACAACAATGACTAAGAACAAATATTATATCCCTCTAGACCACAATGAAATATATCTCTACCTCAATTTTCCTTAAACTGGTACCCTGATGAAGTCACTTCATTGCCAGGTACCATGAAAGTAGAGGAAAAGAAAAGCAGGCAAAGACTAAACAAATGATTTCAGTTAAAATATATTTTTTGCAAACTTTACCAAAACTTATGAACATTTCAGTACATTTTCCAGGGCCTCGCGCAGGACCTTGGAAGGGACCAATGTGAATCAAACAAGAGACCTAAAGTTTAAGCTTCATTACCTCCAGGTAAATCACTTGAGTGAAGGTCTAGTTGCTAAGCAAAAGAAACAATAAGAAGAAAATAGGATCAGTAATCAAACTGAACTAAAAACAGAAGGTTTT